GTGTGTCCAACACGGCAGTTTGAAGCTCTTGCTTGCCAGCAGCACATTTAAGTCACGCCCCAGTATCAGAGAAAAGAGCTCCAGGCTTTCTTTTTAACATGCCGATTCTGCCTGGGCAGAGATATTGATTCCCCCCACGGTAAAATATTTGGTCCGGTAAGCCATCCCCTCTCACCAGACACATGCAGTCTCAAGTGGCACAGTCTTCCCAACCTGTGTTCTCTTACGTGAATTAGCCTCAAGTCTCTCCTACGCGGCTCTGAAGGAAATCATATGGCAACCTCCGAACCGAAGACAAAGCAAAGAAAGCTCAGATTTCTCAGTCACAGTAGACTACCAACTGAAATGCCATGAAGAGGAAGAAGAGAAGAAATTGGATTCATACCTCACCCTTTACTACCCAAAGGATTCTCAGAGTGGCTTACAGACTCCTTTCCCTTCCCCTCCCCACAACAGACACCCTGTGAGGTAGGTGGGGCTGAGAGAACACTGACAGAAACTGCTCTTTTTCAAGAACAGCTCTGACAGAACTATGGCTTGCCCAAGGTCATCCAGCAGGTGCAAGTGGAGGAGGAATGGGGAATCAAACCCGCTTCTCCCAGGTTAGAGTCCGCACACTTAACCACTACACCAAACTGCAGGCTTGTTTGGGGGAACCTGACTGCTTGGGAAATATATGCTGGTCTACTCGGCCTGGAATCTCACACAGTTTGAACTGAGGCAGAGCGCAGGGCCTTTTTTCTGGCCTCCACATTCCGAGGCAGTCAGCCTCTAAATCCCAGGGCCAGGAGACATCAGGGGAAGGCCTCGGCCTTTCTGCCCTGTTGTTGGACCTCTAGAGTCTAGAGGAACCGATTAGCCACTGTGTGAGACAAGATGCTGGACTAGATGGACCCTCCACTGGTCTGACCCAGCAGAGCTCTTCTGATGTTCTTCTCAGGGGAAGGCCTCGGCCTCTCTGTCCTGTTGCTGGCCCTCCAAAAGAATGGGTTGGACACTGTTTGAGACAGGATGCTGGACTAGAGGGACCCTCCCTGGTCTGACCCAGCAGGGCTCTTCTGGTGTCCTTCTCAGGGGAAGGCCTCGGCCTCCCTGCCCTGTTGCTGGCCCTCCAGGGGAACTGGCTGGCCCCTGTGTGAGACGGGAGGCTGGACTAGAGGGACCCTCCCTGGTCTGACCCAGCAGGGCTCTTCTGATGCTCTTCTCAGGGGAAGGCCTCGGCCTCTGTGCCCTGTTGCTGGCCCTCCAAAAGAATGGGTTGGACACTGTGTGAGACAGGAGGCTGGACTAGATGGACCCTCACTGGTCTGAACCAGCAGAGCTCTTTCTGGTGTTCTGATCAGGGGAAGGCCTCGGCCTCTCTGCCCTGTTGCTGGCCCTCCAGAGGAACTGGTTGGCCACTGTGTGAGACGGGATGCTGGACGAGATGGACCCTCACTGGTCTGATCCAGCAGGGCTCTTCTGATGTCCTTCTCAGGGGAAGGCCTTGGCCTCTGTGCCATGTTGTTGGACCTCTAGAGGAACTGATTAGCCACTGTGTGAGACAAGATGCTGGACTAGGTGGACCATTGGTTTGATTCAGCAGGGGTCTTCTTATGCCTGAGTTGTCAACGAGAACCTTCTTAGGAGAACCCCAGAGAGCGCCGGGATTGCTTCGGATGCAGCATCTACCTGCCAACACTTGAGCCATTCTACTGCACGGAATGAAGATGGACACACCCTTTGACCTGGCAGAGAACGGAGGGGAATCACGGCTGGCATCTGTTACTGGTGGCTTCAGTTAGCCCTTCTTTTAGGACGCTTATCGCCTGTGCTGAAAATCTCTGCTCACGGGTCCCTCGCCCAGAGGACTGCCTCATGGGTCCAAACTGAAGTTGCTGGAAAGGCCCTGATCGCCAGGGCCTTCTGTGTTTTACATCAGGCCAGCTTCTTTTTCTCATTCTCTGGAATTTAAAGGCCTCCCTCCCCATCCTTTGGGAGTGATACGCTGCGTCTGCTCACCACGACTAGGGGTGTGCAAAAAAATAAATAAAAAATTCGGCCCATTCGGATTCGGTCGAATCCGGCAGAATCAATTTTGGCTGGCAGTTAAGACTCCCGCATGTCAGTTTCGTCAGTAGGAGCCCATTTGGGAGTCTTTGGCCAGCCCCATGTCAATTTCAGCCCCATTCTATCCTATGGGCCATTGAAGTCAATGGTGAAAACATAGGGTATATTCTGGGGGCTGGAGGGGAGGGGGCTTGAGGGAGAGGCTCCATACTCTCAGAGTAGCTGCTGGAGCCTCTCCCCAAGATACCAACCACGTTTGAAGAACATTGGACCAGGGGGTCCAATTCTACGGGCCCCCAAACAGGTTGCCCCTATCCCCCCCTCCATTGTTCTCTATGGTGGGGGGAAAGTAAGCCCGCCGGGAGGGTCTGCGGATGCCCCTGATCTCGCTTGCTAAGAGACCAAATGCTTTTAAGCGCAATATCAACGCATCCTTGTGCATGTTGACCGTAACAACCAGGCACCGTATTCAGATCCAGTTAATCTCCTGCTGCCACTTGCTGGGTGGAATATTCATCAGCAGCCCCCAATCTCTTCCTTCCACCATATTATCCAATTCACTGCCATGTAAAATATATTAAAGCCTGCAAATATTGGGGGGGGGGAGATGAATAATTCATGACCGCCAAAAATAAGGCGCAAAAAACACTGATGTTTTGCGATCACTGCTCATTTATTTGCTCAGTATCTCCTCCACCCTCCCGGTACTAAACTCAGAGCAATCAAAGTCTGCAACACAGTCCTTGCAAAAAGCAACATGATTTTCAGACGCTCCTTTACAATAATGTTCCAACAACATACATCATTTTTTTAAAAGGGAGATGCCAAGACAGAAGCCGATGAATAAGAGCGCTTTTCCCCTCTGCGGGATTCAATCTCACCTGCTTCTAAATATGTATAATGCTAGAATATTAAAGCTCGCTAGGCTGCCATTAGTCTTCCTGCAGTTTAATTTCATCTTACCCTCGCAATTCACATCTGCAAACACTTTTATGCTTTAAAAAAAGCCAACATCCCAATTGAGACCTGAAAACCTGCAAAGGCTCCATGAAGCAGAATGCCGAAGTGCCCCTGATGCTTCTGTTCAAATACAGACAGCAAAAATTTTGCACACATGTTTACCATTTGTTAAATGTAAAGGTTAATTTTTTTTTTTTAATGTATTCATTAAGTCTGAGAAGGGTTCGCAAGTCTGAAAGATCTAATCCCCCTGAGCATCGGATGCAAAACAGTAACAAGTACTGAGAGAAAAATTCCAGAATCTTGCCTTGAAAGGGCAGGAAACCACAAGGTTGCATAAGAAGTTCTGCAAGACATTGCGCTCTTTGCTGTCGGCTTTAGGCAAGCTCTTAAGGGAAGTCTGTCGTGCTTTCCCTTACTTAAAAATTTAAAAGCGAGAACATTTTTAAACGGAAAACATAGGTGGCAGTTGCTTAGGATCTCGCAGGGTACTGAATATCAAAGTGCCTTCATTCTCGAATGAAAAAAGAAAATGAGGATGACTTAAATTGAAAGTTATACGTCACTAGACGATTAAACAGTTTGTCAATCTTAGTTCTTTCTACCAATTCTACATTTCTATTAAACTGTCAGTGTAGAACTGAACTGGCACCTCAAACAAATCTGTCTTGCTTCATTTTGGCTCCCCAGACGTCTCAGGATGCTCTGCCCCAAAGCGGGGAACAGAGATCTCAAACAAACGCTCAGAAATTGCCAAACCCAGTGGCTTTTACAGAGAATGACACTCCCAAAGCCTCCGTCGCTTCTGAACCCTGCAAATTATTTTCATGCAAGCCTCCTCCGACGTGATTTGTTTACTTTTAAAGAAACATCCATTCACTGCTCCGTGACTTAAACGGTAATGAAAGCACTTCACGGGAGGTTACAGTTAAGAAACCGAACAAGCCCATTCATGCCTTGCTTAAAGAATGTCTCCAAGTCACGGAGAGATATAACCCATTTGGCAACTGCATGGCGCAGGCTACCGGGAACGGCTGACTTACCTTTGATCTTGAGTTTGATCACTTAGCACTTCAAACCAAGACAGCTCTTAAAAAGAAGAGAGAGATCAGGGTCTAGAGCTCCGTACACTCCATGAAGATTTTCGGGGTAGACGCTTTTGAGAGACAAAGCAACGCTTATGCCCAGAAAATCTTGTCGGCCTCTACAATACTGCTAGACCCAAATTTAGCTGTTCTACTGCAAAACAACAGCTCTTTAAAAGAAGTTCTTTCTTTTTAAATCGTGCTGCCTTTCCTCCTCCCATTACGAGCCTGTTTGTTGAGGGATCGGGAAGATTACGGTTCAGATCAAACGTCCCCTCAGCTCCAAGAGGCAAAGGTATAATGAAACCACCACCGCTCAATAACCCAAAGCACGATTCATGGACGTTTGCACCCCATACTAAGCAGTCTTCCTTCCCTCACTTCTCTGGCCTGGTTATTTTATTGATTTATTTCTGTTTGATTTATACCCTACCCTCCCTTGCCAGGTCAGACTCAGGGCGGCTTACATATATGCAAAAGCTAAAAACAGCAATATAATAAAAGCATTAAATCTCAAAACAACTACATAAGGTGCTAATAACAATTTAAGTAACAATGGCGAAGGCAGAGTAGAACCGACGCACGAGTAAACGCAGCCAGTATTAGATTTCAGTGTCAGCGGAACTCGGGCTGTCGGTGATGGTATTGGGCCCAGGGCCTTGATTTATTGGGTGTGGCTCCTTAATTAAAGGCCTGGTGGAAGAGCTCCGTCTTCCAGGCCTCGGTTACCAGCACAACACCCTCCGCACACGCAAGGCTAAGGCACTGGGCGGCTGAGAAGTTCTGGAAATGGAGTAAGCGTTTGAGGCCGAGAGCCCCCACCGCCTGCATTCCAACCCCCCAGCTTTGCCAGTCTGGCTGCAGACAGAGGACAGACGTTGAGATACTGATCTCCTCCAGACATACCTTAAGTCAAAGGGAGGCCTCCAAACGCTAATGCATCTCAGAATCCCAGCTCGACTTCAAACAACCACCTGGAGAATAAAAATAAAGCTAATTAAGACCCCCTCGAAACGTGTTCCGCTGCGTGCGGCTCCTCCCGCACTGAAAGGGAGCCCTGCTTATACATTTAAAGACTTGACAAAGAGATTCCAATTTTTTTTTATTTTTTTTTAAGGATCCAGAGCATCAATTTCATTTCCTCCAGGCGGCTGCAAAGGAGTTTAATCTGCTTGGCCTGCCAAAATCCTACCTAATTGAAGAGCTAATCCCTGACTGCTGCCTGGCGCTGACATAAGAGGCAATGGCTTCATTAAACATTTTGGGAAGAAGCTGGAGGAGTCAAATTGCCCCTAACCCTCCACATTCAAGGGATTCTTGCTTTAAACAAAACCTGCCCTAGTCAAGAAGGGGAGATTTAAAAGGGCAAAAAGCCAGATCCAACATTCTCTCATCTCTTCTAATTTCATCAGCTTTCGAGATCTGGAGTAGCCTGCAATCTTTACTATTTGGTGTGTCCCCCCCTTTAATTAGGTCCCAACCAAGGTGCCCTCTAAGCTTTGGAGTCTTGCGAGCAAAAATTCTACTTTGTGAGCTACTGGCATTAAAGCTGTGAGCGAGCAATTTGGCTACTGCGTGAATTAGTTTGCTCTGGAGCCCTCCTTCCTAAGCGAAGACAAAAATGTGTGAGCCGGAGGCTAAAAAAACTGTGAGCTAGCTCACACTAACTCAGCTTAGAGGGAACACTGGTCCCAAGTAAGAGATATTCATCCACTCCCTAGAAAGACACTGGTTAAGATTTTCCATCACTTGCCTATTTCTCATGAAGGCTAGACACACGGTAAAGAAGAGAGGGGTGTGTGTGCATGGCTTTGTATGTCACTATCAAGGTGGATATCAAGTGGATATCAGTATCAAGTGCCAACTTAGCAGTTCGAACGCAAGAAATTGCAAGTAGATAAATAGGTACCGCTTCGGTGGGAAGGTAACAGCGTTCTGTGCGCCGTGGTGTTTAGTCATGCCGGCCACATGACCACGGAAACGTCTTCAGACAGCGCTGGCTCTTCGGCTTTGAAACGGAGATGAGCACCGCAACCCTAGAGTCGGATTCGACTACCTTTACCTTTTTATCAAGGTGGAAAGGGGGCTGCAGTGGCTCAAGTGGTTAAGACGCTGAACTGCAGGCCGGAACGTCGGTAGTTCAAGCAGTTCGAGACCCGAGTGCCAAATGACGGAATGAGCTCCCGTCTCTGGCCCCAGCTCCTGCCAACTAGGCAGTTCGAAAGCAAGAAATTGCAAGTAGATAAATAGGTACCGCTTCGGTGGGAAGGTAACAGCGTTCCGTGCGCCTCGGTGTTTAGTCATGCCGGCCACATGACCACAGAAATGTCTTCGGACAGCGCTGGCTCTTTGGCTTGGAAACGGAGATGAGCACCGCAACCCTAGAGTCAGATTCGACTGGCTTTCGAGCAAGGGAAACCTTTACCTTTCTATCAAGGTGGAAAGAGACTCCTTGCTCATATGCAACAGCGGGGCACAGATAAACAGCAAGAAAGATTCAGGGTAGCGTGCAACTACGCAACAAGCTTTTAACCTCGGCATTTAATCATCAGCATTTTGCTACTTATTTATTACGAACCAGGGGAAAATGGAGGAAGCCGCATACCCTACTATTCTGAATGATATCCGGTTTGTTTTTATGCTCGAGACGGTCCAAACCTCTGCCCAGCAGTTCTTATTTCCATCCAATACAAAAAAATGAAGAAGTACCTCAAAATGTCCATCATAAAGGGTTTTGTTGTCAAAGGCTTACACTGACAGAGTTCATTACCTGTTGTAGATTTCCCCGGAAAACCTACAACAGCTAATAAAGGGTTTTCTTTTAAAAAAGAAGAAGAAGGGTAGTGTCTTTGAAAGGACTTCCCATTTTAACAGAAATTTCCACCCTCCTTCCACCCAGCCCACCCTCTCTAGGAGGCAAGATTTCTGTGCCGGACAGTTCTTCGAGAGGCAGGCGGAAAATGTCTCATTTTTGACTAAATGTGTCTTGCGCACTGTTTGCAGCAAGATGCACATTTCTTTAAAAGGAGCCATTAAACATGATGCCTAATAGGACCCGGGTCTATCATTCTCCGATACCCCCCTCTTGTTGGGGGCTCAATTTAATAAACAAAGGCAGCTTTAATAATTCAGAATTTGCTTCGCCAAAGACGCGAGAGGCCTGTCAGAATCCTTCTGCAAGACAGTCGGTGAATTTCTTCAAGCCTCTGAGCTCTTTGCAAAGATTTAAGTCTGTGCTGTTGCTTTTTGAATACTGATAAGTGAAGTTCTCTTTTCTCCTCTTTAAAGGATTAAACATACCCACACAGGCATCTTTATTAGTGAATCACACACCATTAAGTTGTCAGGTTTTCTTCCACAGCTCTTAAAGATACAGTCATCCAAAAGCTGCATTTTCACAGCATTTCTTTTAATTCGAGGGAGCGGGGGCGGACAAAGAACTAGCTCACCGTTTTTCCCTTCCAGCTTAAAGGGAGAAGAATAGAAAAGAGGAGGAAGAGAACCAGATTTCAGCAACTTAAAGGTAAAGGTTCCCTTGCTCGAAAGCCAGTCGAATCCGACTCTAGGGTTGCAGTGCTCATCAAAGCCGAAGAGCCAGCGCTGTCCAAAGATGCTTCCGTGGTCATGTGGCTGGCATGACTAAACACCAAGGCGCACGGAACGCTGTTACTTTCCCACCGAAGTGGTACCTATTTATCTACTTGCAATTTCTTGCTTTCGAACTGCTAGGTGGGCAGGAGCTGGGGCCAGAGACGGGAGCTCCCTCTGTCATGTTGTGGCACTCGGGTCTCGAACTGCCGAACTACTGACCTTCCACAGCCTGCAGTTCAGCGTCTTAACCACTTGAGCCACCGCAGCTCCATACTCAGCAACTTACATACATACTGAACAAAGTTTGAGTCCGGTGGGACCTTTAAGACCAACAAAATTTTATTCAAGGTATAAGCGTTAGTGCGCCAGCACACTTAGAATCATATAATGTTACAGATGGAAGGGACCTTGCAGGTCATCTAGTCCAACCCCCCTGCACTCTGCAAGAGCATAGCCGAAAGACAGCCCTACAACAGACCCGAAAGATGGTTGTCCAGCCTCTGCTTGAAAACGTCCAGCGAAGGAGCCTCCACCACCTCCCAAGGCAGTCTGTTCTACTGCTCAACCACTCTGACAGTTAGGAAGTTTCTCCTGATATTTAGCCGGTAACGACTCCCTTGTAATTTCCACC